AGCCCTCTGAATCTTGATCGTACACCTCCTGGTTTCAGATTAGAATGAAGTAGATCTGATTAGATGTAGTCTTTGACCCCAAAATGTGACAACAGCAGGTTAAAACAATATACATGATACACATGAGTTAAAAATGACATATATCAGATTAGATTAGAATAGATTGGATTGGATACACTTTATAGATCCCATATTTGGATTTATTTTTAAACAAACAGTAAATAAATACCTATTAACCCTAACCCACTTTATTAGACTTTCCTACTACCACTAAATAAACTATAAACATAGGATAATTACATATACATTTCAACAGTATAACAGTGTATTTCCTTCTAGTATCTATAGAATAAGCAATATAAATAATACAAAATCAGTCAGTGTAAACTAAAATAGACTAAATACTTATTAAATAAAGATTTTCAATTAAAAAGTTCTGAAATTACAGGGTCATTTTTTTAAACAGCACCTGAATGAAGTAGAATATTTCTGCACATTAATAAAGTATAAGAATATAATTAGTTTTTATAAGACTAACCAGATCTGAAACACGGGGTGTAGAGGTCAGATTCACTGGGGCTCATTTTCTGTGTGTGTGTGACCCATCGTTCACTTCCTGTTTCATGCTCAGTCATGGTGGTAAGTATAGAGAAGTGTTGCATGGACCAGCTTTCAGACTCTCACCAGACCCATTCTCTTGTGTAACACCAGCTCCAATTGAGGACTGAAAATCCAAAAACCTCACCAGTAACTACTCACTCAGAGAGTAACCCCCCCCCCATCACCCCCCAGCATGGAAAAAGATGGCCGAACACATTGAGCCTCAAATCTGCATGTTAACTACCACAGAGGCAGGGAGATAGGGGGTTAAAGACCCCTACATGCTCCAATCCATCGTGTGTGTGTGTGTGTTTTAGGGCTGTACCGAATATCTTTATTCAAAACAAATTGAAGATTCTTTTTGAAGCCTGGACAGTGTTATCTGAATATATTTATGGTGGCATCAACCTGGTAAAAATATATACATGTATATTTGGTAATAGGGCCCGTCCACACGGCGCCGTGCGTTGAAGCTTAATTTTCACTTACTTTGAATGGGGTGACGTCACGCTTTGCCGAACTATATTGTGGTTCCGTCGCGGCGCTTTGCCTCCGTTGCTCGCTTCAAAAGTTGAGAAAACGTTTCAAGCTTCGACGGAAGCGTCCGCCAATCAAATCATATGCCAGTACAAGCTCTAGCCAATCAAACCGCGTGCTTGTGTGTCCGGGGCGGGAGATTAATGTGATTGGTTGTTGGTCGAGCTTCAGACACGCCCACCGGCAAGCTTCAACGCACGCCGCCGTGTGGACGCTCCGTTACATATTTTTGTGTTATGGTTATATAAATTGAATGTATGATGCTGTTAGATGGCTGCTTTATTGCCCCGTTAAAACAGATGCAAAACAGATTCTCTACACTATCACCATGAAAGAACATAGTGTCCTTCAAAATGTCAAAAGGCATTGAATTCATTAAGCTAAAAAAAAAAGCCTTTAATTGGCAATAGATGTCTTAAAACTATTTTTGAAAAGTCTAAAAAATGCGAAAATATCTCAAGTATTGCTTTATAAGTCAATGTGAAGATAATTGGTTACATATTTTTAAAACAAAAATACCAAAAGCCTCTCACATTATCAGATCCGGATGGAGGACATTTCGATTGTACTTCTGTTTTGAAGTATTCGGTACAGCCCTTATCTTTGTTCAGTCTTATCAATGATATGGCATGGTTGGGTGGTGGAGTGTGTCTTCTTGTGGTTTCTGTGCACATAAACATGAAGTATGGGAGAAAACACTCTGTGGTTCATTCTTCACGGATGAGCAGAGCATGATGTTCCTCCTAAGACCCAGCTTCCTGCAGTGTGTGTTCTGTGTTTGGTATCTGTGGTGGTGGTGTGTTTTCTCCTAAGGTGTCCTAACCGTGGTGTTCAATCTGCTGCAATGTCCTTCCTCTTTTTGTCGGTCCCTCCCTCTCCTCATTGGGTGTGTGTGTGATCAGAGACATGCATGCAGAGATCATCAGCTCCATTAAGAGCTTGCAGCTGGATGGAGACGACCCTCGTAAGCTGCTGCAGTCCTGGGGTCGGCTCCGCTTCCCCCGACACCTCCTCCAGTGAGTCTGCAGACAGACCTGGCCTCAGCTACGCTCCAGAATTACCCCCCAAAAAACATGGAGAATGTTCACCGCTTATTTTCACTCACTAACCAGCCATAACTAGTCTTAGCTGTCACATGTTTAGCCACCTTTCTCAATGGATCATCAACTAAAGATGTCCCAACACCAGTTTTTCTTTACCGATATCTGAACTTGGGTTTCATCTAATACCGAGTACAGATTTTATACTTAAAAACAAAAGTATGAATATATATAATGCTGCACAACTAGCTTAAATGTATGGATTCAGCAATATGGACTGGTGCAATATCCATACAGCATTATTGGAAAAGGCTAAATATGTGAAAATATCTGAAACTTTTTTGGTGCTCCAGATATGTTCCTGTCTATAAATCGTAGTTTGCAAAGTTAAAAAAGCATAATCTATTTGGTAGAGATCGTCAAAAGAAACCACACCACGGTCTTTTTAAAATATTTCATATATATTGTGAATAATGTTTCAAAAATAATAATTCGCTGCAAATTAAGAACCATATTGTAGTCAAAATATTATCTATTACTTATTTGTTCCAAATCGTACAGCCCTTAAAATACCTATTATTGTTGTATTAGCTGTATACTACTGTAACACGTAATATAATACATATATATATATATATATTCGATCATTTTAAATACATGAATACCTTCAGAAAATGATGGTCTCAATATCGAGTCAGTTATAACTCAAAATAGGGACAGACGCAACAGAGATGAAAGGAAGCAAGATGGCTCACATTTGAGCTATGAACGGTATCACTTCTGGATTGGTTGCGGATCACGTAGCAAGTGACTCATATTGTTGTTGTTGTTCTGCAGTGTAAACAAACTGATAAACGATACAATAACGTCATATCAAACCAGTTCACAGCCTCAATATTTTGGCAATCCCAAATGAAGCACTTTAGGCTGTTTGGGAGACATTCCCCATTCTCGTATCTTTATCTAAACAACTCTTATCATTTGCCTCTCATGAGCTTTTATCCAATAAAAACATTGAACGCTCTCCTGCTTCTTCTGCAGACGTTACATTATTGGCGTCGTTTGGAGACACTGTCGAGTTTATTTGAAGGATGGAGCTGAAATGCCTTAAATGCGTTCATTTCTGCTGCATGAGCATCATCAGAAAGCTGCTGCTGGCATGTGAAGTCTTTACGAGCGCCTTTTAAAATATTTCCAAACGGCCTCTCGGCATGTTAGAATTTCACATGGAAACAGATTCAAGCAGGATATGAATTTAGGGCTCTCTTTATGTAGCGATGCAAGAGAGCATGTCTGTCTGCGAATGGTGAGTCTCTGCTGAGCTGATTTCTTTAGATGTCATCTCATCTCCTGCAGAAAACCCTCTCCTTCATCATCGTCTTCCTCCCTTTCCATCCTCACCCTCTCACTCATTCTCTGCCCGTCATTCATCCCGTCCTCCAGGTGCGACCCTGGATTTCATCGCAGCGCATGAAGGAGTCAGCCGTCCGTACTAACCCGGCTTCACACGCTCCATCTACTACTTCTCCATCATCGCTCCTCAGGCCTCCAACGCTTCAGTCTCTCTAACTCACCCTCTGTCTCTCTTCCACAGGAAAAACAAGAACGCCAAACAGAGGCAGGTCATCCCCAAGGTAAACACCAGTAGAGAGGGGAGAGCCTTTGTTCAGGGGCAGATACATACTATGTTTTATAACACGGTTTGAAAGGATTTCTCTTGTTTGCTGTCCTTAAAATCATATGTATTGCTGCAACAATGAGTCCATCAACAGGAAGGCAAGCGGCAAGTATTACGATAGAGGCGAAGTCCCTCCCTTTCCGGTGGAGCTCCATGGGACGTTATTTCAGAAAAAGTATGTATTGAAGTCAATGGAGAGAGAAAGATTATCTTTCGATCGCGTTTGAATTGTGCCACGAATTACACATATGATGTTTGACAATTTAAAAGATAATTTTGCAAGTCAAACAAATTAAAATGTGTCGTAAAACTGTGAAACCGCTCGATGAACTACATCTCCCGTCTCGCACCACACACCGAGACGGCCGTCACGTTGAAACATCTCACTTCTTTCTTTCAGAACGAGGCGGAAAGTATTAAAAGAGGTGAAAATCACTCCAAGTCTGGGCATGTTGAGAGCTGTACGTACACACAAGGGGAGTTAGTCGGTTCCGTAAGAGCCAGCATGCGGGACCGGGACTCTGGGATTTGTAGTCTTTCTAGTTGCGTATTTTTTTGCGTCTTATATTTCAACAGTTTTACGACAAACTGTGACTTTTTTGACATGGAAATGATTTTTTAAGATTGACAAACATCATATGTGTAATTCGTGGCACAATTCAAACGGGATCGAAAGATACGTTTTCTCTCTCCATTGACTTCAATACATACTTTTTCAGAAACAAGGTTCCATGGGGCGGAAGTAGATGGGCGGGACTTCGCCTCTCTATTGTTTATTTGTAATTTAAGTAGTTTTTCACGCAGAAATGTAATGAAATGTTTTTCTCAGCATCTCAAATATACAGATGTCCTGCTTTTTGCTGTTTTGATATCATATTAAAGAGAATATTGTTGGGTTTTGGACTGAGACATGACATTTAAAGACATCACTTTGGATTGGATGGACATTTTTAGCTTTTTTAAAATTATATCTTATAGAAAATATCACCAGATGAATCGATGGAGAAAGTGATTTTTGGTTGCAGCCCTGATCATGATTACAGAGTGCAAGTTGAATATTTTCATGACAAACAAGAATTTGAGAAAACAAGTCGTATTTGACGGAGTATAAACGAATGATATTATCCTGTATTCCTGCTGTTCAGAGTTTGCTGGACTCTCGGTCTCTGAAGTTCATCGTGAGCCTGACGCTGCACGACCGCACCACCAAGTCTCTGCTGCACGTTCACAAGAAGAAGAAACCCCCCAGCATCAGCGCTCAGTTCCAGGTAATCACCGACAGCATATAACACACACACACACACACACACACACACACACACACACACACACACAACACACACACACCACACAAAACACACACACACACACCAAACAAAACACACACACCACATACACACAAAACACACACACACCACATACACACAAAACACACACACCACAAACACACACACACACACCACACACCACACACACACACAAAACACACACACAAACAAACACCACCACACAAAACACATCACTACCACACCAAATACCACCACACACAAAACACCACACTCACACAAACTACACACACACAAACACACTACAAACAAACACACCAACACACAACACCCACACAAAAACAGAACACCACAAAACACACACACACACACCACACAAAAAACACACACACAAAACACACACACACCACATACACACAAAACACACACACACACCACACACACAAAACACACACACACCACACCCACAAAACACACACACACCACACACACACACAAAACACACACGAAAAACACACACACACACACAAAACACACACACACAAAACACACACACACACAAACAAACACACACCACCCACAAAACACACGCACACAACAACACAAACACACACCACCACACACACACACACACACAAAACACACACATACCACACGCACACAAAACACACACACACACACACCACACAAAACACACACACACCACACACACACAAAACACACACACACCACATACACACAAAACACACACACACACCCACAAAACACACACACACAAAAAACACACAAACCACCCACAAAACACACGCACACAACACACACAACCACACATTACAAACAAACAAACACAAAAACGACAATAAAAATACCACAACACACACAACCACCACGACACACCACAAAACAAAACACACACACAAAAACACACACACACACAAAAACACACACACACAAAACACACACACACACACAAAAAACACACACACACACACAACACACACATCCACACACAAAACACACACACAAAACACACACACATACAAAACACATACATCCACACACAAAACACACACACACAAAACACACAAAACACAACACCACACACACAAACATACAAAACACATACATCCACACACAAACACACACACACACAAAACACACACCACACAAAACACACACATACAAAACACATACATCCACACACAAAACACACACAAAACATACACAAAGACACACACCAAACACACACACGCACACACAAAACACACACACCTTGAACCTTCATCAAGCCCCTCTCCTCCTTCTCTTCAGACCTCTCTGACCAAACTGTTGGAGACCCTAAACAGAGCCGAGCCTTTCTTCATCCGCTGCATCCGCTCCAATGCCGAGAAGGTACGGTCTTATTGTTCTTTAATATGATTTGTTTAAATTCTTGGTCTTGGTTTAATGAATACTGACATTTTCTTTTAGCTTAAAGAAAGAAAAGGGCGGAATCTTAAGAGTAAATGGATGCAGTGCAATCACCTTTCACAGCTGTCAAACAAACCTCGGGGCTCTTTTGCATGATGACATTATTTTAGTCAAATTAAATATGACAATTTCAAAATAAGCTCAGATCACAATTCTCATTTATAGTGATGATGTTTCTGTAAGTTGGTAAACGTTGGTATCTAAAAGGTATGGATGTAAGTTAATAAGCTTGCGGTCGTCCTGAGCAGAAGGAGATGCATCTGGACGAGGCGCTGGTGCTGCAGCAGCTGAGATACACAGGAATGCTGGAAACTGTTCGCATCAGGAGGTCAGGCTACGGAGCCAAGTACACATTCCAGGTACTGCACACATACTCTTTCAACATACTGATGATAAGGAGGATAGAAACTGATGCAATACTACAACGCGTGGAAACTATTTCTGGGGTTGAATACTCAAAGTTTACTTACCATTTTAAACAAATGGCAAATATCATAACATTTCACAATTTGTACTGAGGTGACAAGTTCTGTGATATATAATCTGTTCCAAACGGCATATATTATTTTATACTTTTAGTACATACTCACAATTGTCCTTACAAATTACGTACTGTTGCGATGCAGTATGCATACTAGTTAGACAAAATATTTAGTTCCACGATCCATTTTGAACTGAGACCCTCATATATCTAATATCTGCATACTGCAAAATACTGCCGGATAGAGAAGAACATTTTGGTATTTTTAGGCATTATGCCTTTGATACACTAAGTACACTAAGTTGATAGCTTGGAATAATGTACAGAAGGAGCTGAAACTCTCAGATGTAATTCAGGTCCATCCTAAAGGAAAGACACCACTGGTAGATGTGAGTGCTCGTATATCCAAAAATCGTTTTAAATGTTGCCAGTTTTTAATGATTTTTAATAGTTTGTTTTATTTTGACTGGCGTGTATGCCATTTTATTTGTGTTTTACAGCTGTATTGTCTTGTATTGTCTTGTATTGTCTTGTATTGTCTGTGTTTTATCTGTTGTAACTTCGTTCATGCTGCCCATCTTGGCCAGGTCACTCTTGGAAAAGAGAGTTTAATCTCAATGAGTCTTTTACCTGGTTAAATAAAGGATATATATATAAGGGAATTTACTGAACATTTTTCTTACAAAGTGAAGCGTTTCCCTATTTTCAGACTTGTTCAGAGTAAGGATTTGAAACTGAAATAATCCTTTTGTCAAGGCGGAGTCATCGTGTTGAAATCCAGTAGTTTTGGTAGATTGCCTCCTTTAGCTGAAAGAAATGGTCATGTAAATGTTGAGCTATTAATATCTAACGATCTTTCTAACATCAGGGTGTCCGCGGGGTCTTAAAAAGTATTACAAGTTGATAAATCAATTTAGCGAAAATGAAGGCTATTAAAAAGTATGAAACGGCATTTCCCAAGGTATTACATTTTGTAGCTTGTTTTCAATAAGTATATAAATTGTCCAAAGAGGTTGTATTCTACAGTCTGCCTGAATGTAATCATGGCGTAGGTGTGTAGTGTGATTCTGTGTAGTTTATTGATGGCATCCCGTTGGGTTTGACGTCATCTGAACAGGACATCGCACGCTCACTGCTTGATAGCGCGAAGGTCCGTTTACGCCGGTTGTTAAACAACATCGTTATGGGGAAATGCAAGTTTGCGTCCAAATGGTTGGAAGATAAGGAGGAAGGACAATCAATACTGTATATAGTCAATGTGAGGTAAAGTGTGTCGCCAAGGTAACCGGTTAAAATTCCAAGTGGCGATGAGGTCTTCAAATGTATGGAAAGGGTCTTAAAAAAGGTCTTAAAAGGTTTTACATCTGACTTCAGGATTCCTGCATATACCCTGAGTATTGTACCTCAGGTTTGGACCATTCATCTCAACCACAGAAGCTCTTTCTCTAACAGTCCATACATTTCTAATTTGTGTTTTTCTCTTTCTTGTCCCTGCAGGAGTTCATAGAGCAGTTCAGGGTTTTGCTGCCAAAGAACACGGCCGCCTCTAAAGAGCACATCTCCGCGCTGCTGGGGGAAAAGATGGGCCTGGACCACACCACGTACCAGATAGGCAAAACTAAGGTACACCACCCAGTTTATTCCTTTATAACGCCTTATAAACTCCCTTTATTCCTTGTGTTTGCTCATGTTTTCTTCCCTGTGTGTCTTCTCTGTGTTCAGGTGTTTCTAAAGGAGCTGGAGCGCCAGCAGCTGCAGGACACGCTGCACAAAGACGTGATGAGGAAGATCATCTTCCTCCAGCGCTGGTTCAGAGGCCGCCTGCAGAGGAAGGAGTTCCTGGACATGAGACAGGCCGCCATCTTGATTCAGGTAAACACAGACAAAACATTTACTTATGGAGGCTTGTATATGGGCATTAGGAGAGAACTGAAGTATATTACTAATACTAGCAAGCCACATGAATGTCTGGGAGCAAATACATTTGATATGCTAAACAAACACGGCCAGGATCCGTTGAATTTTCTGAATATTGGGTTGCCGGTTAGAATGTTCCAAAGGGGGGGCTCCTTTAGCATGACACACTTTAAATAACTGAAGGGTACGTTAAAAAATAAAGTAGAAAGAAAGTGAGGTCAATGATTGAGAGTCAGAGCTAAACATTTCAGATGTGTGTATCTCACACTGTAACTTTAATTCATGTACCTTTTGTTAGTCATGTTTTATTATCTTTGCTTTTAAATGAGTGTTTTTAAAATGCCATTTTATAATATGTTTCTTAAAGGTCACCTATTATGCAAAATCCTCTTCTTCATGTCTCTTCTATATCAACATGTGTCCCCTCTTCTTCATGTCTCTTCTACATCAACATGTGTCCCCTCTTCTTCATGTCTCTTCTACATCAACATGTGTCCCCTCTTCTTCATGTCTCTTCTACATCAACATGTGTCCCCTCTTCTTCCATGTCTCTTCTACATCAACATGTGTCCCCTCTTCTTCATGTCTCTTCTACATCAACATGTGTCCCCTCTTCTTCATGTCTCTTCTACATCAACATGTGTCCCCTCTTCTTCATGTCTCTTCTACATCAACATGTGTCCCCTCTTCTTCATGTCTCTTCTACATCAACATGTGTCCCCTCTTCTTCATGTCTCTTCTACATCAACATGTGTCCCCTCTTCTTCATGTCTCTTCTACATCAACATGTGTCCCCTCTTCTTCATGTCTCTTCTACATCAACATGTGTCCCCTCTTCTTCATGTCTCTTCTACATCAACATGTGTCCCCTCTTCTTCATGTCTCTTCTACATCAACATGTGTCCCCTCTTCTTCATGTCTCTTCTACATCAACATGTGTCCCCTCTTCTTCATGTCTCTTCTACATCAACATGTGTCCCCTCTTCCTCATGTCTCTTCTACATCAACATGTGTCCCCTCTTCCTCATGTCTCTTCTACATCAACATGTGTCCCCTCTGTGGAAAGAGACTCTGAAAGTTTCAGGAACAAAGATTCTCTCTCTTTTTGATCCATTTCTATAAAAACATGTCTAAAAATGAGCTGATCAGATTTTGGCCACTTTATGATGTCATAACTAATGTTTTGTCTTGTGTAACCATTAGCCAATCAGCAACCAAGGTAACCCCCCCCCCCCCCCCCCCCCCCCCCTTATCACCTGAATCTCCTCCTAGAGCACCATTGTGTTTTTTGTTACCAAATCTCTCTCAGAGGGGCGTGGGGAGGGGCTCCTTATTTTCATCTAAAGTAACAGACAGAGAATCAGCACTTTGGAAACAGGGCTGAAACAGAGGGGATTATGGGTAATGCTGCAATGATCTGTTTGGTGTTTCAGCCAATCAGAGACAGGGTCTGTATATATCTGAGACCTATAATATATTGATGAAAAACAGTATAATAGGGGACCTTTAATGCTCTTAAAGTCTTTCATTTTTGTAAAGCACTTTGAATTGCCTTGTGTTGAAAGGTGTGTTATAAATAAACTTGCCTTGCCTTGCTGACTGTGTCCTGTCTCCTGATAGCGTGCGTGGCGCAGGTTCTGCAGAGAGGAGCAGCGGCGCCGCGCGGCCTCTCTGATCCAGGCCGTGTGGAGAGGACACCGACAGAGAGCGGAGAACGAGCGCCAGAGACAGAGAGTCACCAAAATACAAGCTCTGGTCCGAGGACACTCAGCACGCAGGAGGTAACCAAACCTGAGAGAGGTCACTGAAGACAACATTTAAACACATGTCTAGTTCAGAATCGTATCAATTCTGACAGCTAGTCTTTTTTTATTCCGTCTTTGTCATTGGCAAACCAAGTGCTCAGCCAAAAGCACAAAGTTCCTGAAATCAGTGGGTCATTACTTGCAAATCCTGATTCAAGTGAAGCATACCAGATATTGAATTTGGCATTGAGGGATTGACGTGATTTACCACAGTGAAGCTCTATTTCAGGGGTCGGCAACCCTAGGCACGCGGTACCGTAACCAGTATATAATAATAACACTATAGGAATAAGTGTGCAAAATATTTAAATTGTACTTTCGGATCCTGAACGAGACCGCCGGCAGAGCGCGTCTCCCGTTACCAGCAGAAGGAAGCCATGCACGAAACGCAGCGCAGAAGGATAACTTCTAGGCCCCGCTCTCTTTAACTCCAGTCGACTTGCTGCTGCTTTCCTCCGTGGTGAAACGATCAGAGGTGAAGTGCTGCCGGAGCGCGCCGGCTGCACTTCACAAATTACAGTAGGCTACCCATAAGGAGCTGTTCAAATGCCGCAGTCTTTGCGTGGCTGTGTCTTTAGTTGAGAGCCCAGTGGCGATCTGCTCATCTCTCATCGAAAAGAATATCCTACACAGGGGCCGACTGGCCATCTGTGTGTTCTGGAGAATCACAGAACGGACGGTCGTCATTATTATTACGCCGTTTAAACCAATTATTTAAATGTATTTAAACCATGGATGTATAATAAGAACTGGATACAGCGTGGGAGGCGGGGCCTCGTTCATTCCTATGAGAGTTGCTCATTGGCGCATGAAGACAAAATGGCCCAACTTTTGAGAGAGCAAAACGTCACGAAAGTAATCATATAATCTTATTGTGCATCCATGGGTAAAAGTAAAACTCATGTAGTACTGAACACGTCACATGAACGTGCCGGGCGGCGCGGTCCCGTGGGTTAGATGCGAGGAAAATAACTCTCAGAATAACGTTATTAGCACATTTTACAACTTGAGGACCGAATCTTTTTAATAAGGGCTATACAAACGTTCATACTGGGTCGTTTATTTAGTTTAAAAAAAAATTATCCAACGATTTACAGACGTCTCTTTCCCAATGTTAGTCTATGGGAAAAAGTGTTTCCGGGCCCAGCGACTGATGTGGAAGTGTAGTACCGCCGTTTGGCCTCAACGAATATTTTCCTCAGAGTCCGGCGCACTTCCTGGGGGCTTGGTTTAAACGGCATCACGTAAGTTGCGCTGACAGGTGAAAGAGGTCCACACACTGCTTCCCCGCAGTGAGGCTCCTCCCCCACCCCGTTAACAATTCACGATCGTCGGCACACTGATCACAATTTGGACCCCTGCTCTATTTGCTTTGCTTGGTATTCAAATCCAATAGTGTTAATTTTATATTCCTTTTATCACACACACACACACACACACACACACACACACACACACACACACACACACACACACACACACACACACACACACACACACACACACACACACAATAGTATCTTTTTAGTAAGCAGATGATGGTCTAATGTCTGTGTGTTACAGGTGCCACTCCATGCGTGAGGAGAAGCAGAAAAAGGAGGACGAGGAAAAAGAAGCTCAGATGAGAGCAGAAGAGGAGGAAAGAAGAAGGAGGGAAGAAGAGGAGGAGGCGAGGAGAAGAGCAGAGGAGGAAGAGAAGAGGAGGATGGAAGAGGAAGAAGAAGCAAGGAGGAAGGCAGAAGAGGAGGAAGCGAGGAGGAGAGCAGAGGAGGCAGAGAAACAGAGAGAAGAAGAGGAGAAAAGACTGGAGGAGGAGGAGCCTCAAACGAGGAAGGACCCGGACATAGAGCTGTTCACAGAGGACACGGAGGAGGAGGAGGAGGAGGAGACCAACGGTACCTTAGCTGAGGCTGGACCCCAGCAGGAGGAGAAGGAGGAGGAGGAGTCAGGACTTACTCCTGCTCCTCCAGGAGAAGGAGACCAACAGACTGCCTCCAAACCTGCGAGCGCCGAACAAAAGAGATCCAGAGCGCCGGCTTTAAACCGAGCGCAGACGTCCAAGAGCCAGGAGAAGAGAGAGCAGAGGAGGCGCAGAGGACTGGAGCACAACCAGAGAGAGACCGAGCGAGCCGCCTCCTCTTCCTCCTCCTCCTCTTCCTCCACCGGGATCAGCAGCAAGGATCAAAGCTCTCCTCCCAAGAGCAAGAGCAAGGAGCTAAAGGAGCGAGCGGACAGCAAGGAGCTGGACCAGTACACCTTCGTGGCCTGGAAGATGAAGGAGGAGGAGAAGGGAGGGAAGAAGGAGGCCAAAGCGTCGCCTCCTCCTCTGGTCCGCCCCTCCTCTTTACCCCTGCAAATGGCCGCCGACTCCCCGCCCGACAGGAACGGTGTTGGAGACGCCGTCGGATCGTCGAGTTTACAGCGACGTCCCGGAGGGTTCAAGGAGAAGCCGGAGAAGTGGAGGAGGAGCGAGGGGGAGAACCCTGAGGGAGCCAGTCCTCCTCCTAAAAGAGAGGAGAGGACGAAGAAACAACTTCTGTACGTCTTCATCACTAAGCATTAAATCTAATGTTGTATTTTAAAATATATCAAAATGATCATAGTGTGTTTATTCCCAGGGGTTCTGGCCCAAACAAATATGTTTCTTTAAGTCTGTAGTAGGGCTGCTCGATTATGGCAAAAATCATAATCTCGATTATTTGGGTCAATAATTGTAATTGCGATTATTAAATGCTATTATTCATTGACTTTGAAAACATCCATTTATTGGAGAAATATAATAATCGTTTTAATTCGATTACGTTGTTTTCGTAATCGTTGCAAGCCATAATCGTAATCGCGATTAAAATACGATTAATTGAGCAGCCCTAGTCTGTAGTTAACCATTTTTAGGCCAGTAAATCTGTGCAGTTCCAAAATACTTTATTAAAAATGATATTTTAACACGTTAACACAGATATTGTGCTCTCTGTTATTTGAATATGGCATTAATCTAGGGCTGCTCAATTAATCGTATTTTCAATCGCGATTACGATTATGGTTTGCAACGATTACGAAAACAACGTAATCGAAATAAAACGATTATTTTTTTATTATTATTAATACTTTTAATTTTTTCAGTTGGATTATACTTAAAGTTCAGGGTAATCAACTGTTCAACATTTTTTTCTCCAATAAATGAATGTTTTCAAACTCGCATTTAATAATCGCAATTACAATTATTGACCCAAATAATCGAGATTATGATTTTTGCCATAATCGAGCAGCCCTACATTAACCATTATGTGATTTCTTTGTTTTAATATGTATTTATTTCATATTTTACCTGCCTATTCTTCCAGGCGTGAAACAGTCTCCTCATCATTCGACAGTTTGTCTCCAGGAACCGAAGGAGCTGGTGCTTTTTCAGCCAGAGAGGTATTTTAAATACTAATTTGCTGGAAAAATGACATTCTTAGTTTCTGGTCCAGTTATTGTGTATTATCATCTAAAACTATTTCTTTGTTTGCAGTTGATTTCCCCCTCAGAAAGCCAGACTGACGGCTCGAAGGGAAGCTCCTTCAGACGGAAACACCAGGACAGTTCAGACTCCACACACTCCTTCCCCTCAACACCAGACAAGTACTGAACTAACTTCACTGTTAAATGTGAAAAACACTTTGGCATGTACATGTGTCTTAGAAAGGAAGTTGATGTGATGAGTTAAATACAGCACAATGAGCCAGAATCAAAAACTCAGACATTTATTTTTACTTATTCAGTTTTTCTAATGTTTTCTTATTGGGGATATGGTATTACTTGACCTACAGTGCTAGCACTCAAAAGCACGCTCACACTTTTGATATCTGACAGGTTTGTGCTAGATAATTTGTTACTCAAGGTTAATTTAGATCACTAAAAAAGCATTGAATTCATTCATCTAAAAATAGCGCTTAAATTAGTGTTAACATTTCTTAAATATGTTTTTCAAGAGTCTTAGAAATGTTTAAACATGGAAAGTGGGATTATGAATCCTTCTAAAAATGCCTTTTTAAAGAACCGTAGCATCTTAAAATAACTGGTCACATCTATTCTGTTTGAGTTATTTGCTTCGCGTTACGGTCATACAGATCAGGAAGGTGAAATCATGAAGTCAAGTTGGTATTCAATTTAATCCGAGTGCCAGTTTTACAGTTAAAATAACAATGACTTTTCTAACCATGCAATAATTAAAACTCTAGTAAAGTGTAATGTATACATAATATGAAAATATGAAAAAGTAAAATACATTACAAACAGTGTGAATGGGTATAAACACTATGAACAGTTGTATACTACTATAGATGTATATAGAGACATAATAATGTAGACACTATAGACAGAATAAATATGAAACATTTCAGACCAGTAATGGCACTTTTATAAATAATATGAGTACACTAGAGCAGTGGTTCTCAACTGGTGGGTCGCGGACCCGTTTCGAGTGGGTGATGTGAGTGAAGAAAAAAAAATAGAAAAAAAATAATTTCTTTTAACTTTTATTTTGAAGGCCCGATTTTCTAACGCTGTGCATGCAGTAGGCGTTGGACTGGAATTACCGGAGACCATAAACGGTTTTTAAAACTTCTGTCACGTAGTGATCATCTTCTCAATAGAACATCTTTGCTGATGTTTTTTCGAGTCTTCTGGCCAATCAGAATCAAGATTGTTGCCGGAAGTCCCCATGGAGAATAACTTTGCAGTAGAACTACTCTTTATACATCCATGGCTACAACTTCAGATAAAAATGAACACGTAATGAAATATGACCCCCGGTTTGATGATTGACAGGTCACAGAACAATGGGGGCTATCTACCCTTACCCACAATTTAAAGTAACACAGACTCTCTCCTCTTTGCTCTTCTCTCTGTGAGGGGCAGCAGGTTCAGCTTCAGAACTAAGTGAAACACAAACAATGGCATAAAATATTATTAATATGTCGGGTAGTAATAGATTTATTTATTTTCTTCTCAGAGTGTACCAGAATGCATAGTTTATATGTTAGTATTTCTAAAAATCAGACCCCCTTCTGGGGTTGGGTTTTCAGCACGTGTGCTTTGTTTTCCATTTGTTTTGTAGTTATGGTGAAACTGATGGAGCAGAGATGAATATGTGGCACTTTGAAAACACACAGGATAAGGATCTTAAGTCTATATATAGTAGGACTTCAATGATATGTTTTCCTGTTGCTATTAAACGATAAAAGGGATTGCACAGTTTGTGAATTTTCTTGACGGATGTCTGTGTTTGTTTGCAGGTCCGGTGGTTTCTTCAGCAAGATTTTGAAGAAGCGCAAAGAGGCTCAGACTCCAGACAACGGAGAGCTGACTCTGGCTCAGATTCTCAATGAGAGGCCATCAGGAGGGGAAGGTAAATATTAAAAGTTGTCCACTTCAGTTTGAGAATAAATATAGGATTTACTGGACCTAAAAAGGAGAGTAAAAGATCATCCATACCTAGAACCATGACTTTAACCCTTAGTGGGTCTTTTTGGACCCGGTGAGGTGGTTTTCTTGAAGTATCTTTGTAATTACATTTTTTATCATTTCATTGTCCAGCTTTTCCTCAAAAAACATGTTTTGGATATCATGCCATTCACATTTTAAATTTACATTTTAAGAAATTGTAGTTTTTGTATTACTACCCCAAGCTTCCATAAGTGGGTCAAAAATGACCCTCATGCATTTCCTATGGGAACCTTTGATTCTTATCACCTGTGGCAGTCAGGAATACATTCACTGTGACACCTCTCAGGAAGATTATTGTACACAGCAAGATCTGATACCTGTCAGTATAATAATAATAATAATACATTATATTTTTATAGGGCTTTTCAAGGACTCAAAATCGCTTTACAATATGAGGGAAGGTTAGGGTGGGGGGTATAGGACCATCAAACTTGATCAACCGGCATGGATTGATGGAGGGTGGGCTATGAGTAGACAAGAGGAGAAGAGATGAGTTTTGAAAAGGGACTGGAATACTGTGAGGGTCTCAGAATAGCGGAGATCTTTGGGACAATATGTTCAAAACGGTTTTTTTTCAAAATGTAAAAAAAATGTCTAAAATTATAAATAGTGAAAAATTAAATATAAAATATTTCTTGTGTGAACCAAAATATAATACTAAATATTATACAAGTTTCGTAACCAAAATGACAAAAATGGCATAAAAACACATTATTCTAATACGGGTCCTTTTTGACCCACTTATGGAAGAGTGTAGGGTCCAGTCACTCGTGCATCTAAGGGTTAAAGATAACTATAAATATATATTTAACATTGTCCACATAAAGTCTGTAATGATAACAGTGGTAAATGATATCGCTGGGATCACTTTCAGAGAGGCATCCCAGCGATAGCAGTCCACTTCCATCACACCTCATAGAGTGAGATTTGTAAAGAAAACACAGGTGTGTTATCTCTAATTTTCTCAGGACTAAACTAACCCCGCTGTGTGTTTTCTGAGACAACACCGACCCGTGCAGATCACGCTCAGAGCAACAATAACTCCACTCTGGGTCTGTTTCCTCGACGGGACTAATGCACACTTTACATTCAGCATTAGAGTTATTCTTGTAAAAGGGGGAAGTATTCTTAGTATTATGCACTCACCTTTTCCTCCATGCGATGATTAGTAGAATAACAATGCATTTAATTTAAATAGCATACTTTAAAGACAACAACATCAAATCAAGTTTTATTTATATAGCACATTTATAAACGATTTTTGGTCGAGCCAAAGTGCTGTACATATAATACAAATAGCCTACAGTAGAGACACTTTACAGCAAATACAACGGCACAGATTGTTCAGAATATCAGTATGAGAAAAATGACACCCTCTATCCTTAGACCCTCTGTCCTTAGACCCTCACATCGTACAAGGAAACACTTCCAGAGAAAACCCACAGTTTAAAGGGAACATGGGAGAAACCTCAGGGAGAGCAACAGAGGAGGGATCCCTCACCCAGGACGGACAGACGTGCAATAGATGCCGTGTGTAAATCGAAGAGATAATACATTTGACAGCATATAGACCGAATGTTAGGAAATGCATGTGTCTGTAATAAGAAGATGAATCCACAAGGATGTTAGCTACAATCCTGAGGAAGCCATCAGGGAAGCAGCATGACGAGACCCAAGGCAGGACCGCAGAGACAGGTTCAGCCACGACCCGAAGTCCACGACTTAATCCAGAACTCAGGATAGAGGATCCAAGACACAGGACTACAGCAAGAGGATCAGCCTCGACTCCGGATCCCGGCATAGATATAGATACAAAACAAGAAAAAAGATTTGGCTGGGTTAATCGGAACAAGAGAATACACAGACACAGACAGAGAGGGAGAAGGTCATTGGATAAAAGTTATTCTTGATAACCCTCTAGAAAGATCTCATGAACTTCCCCACTCAATCTATCAAGACCCGAGCAGTTCTATTAGAAGTCCAAGGTAAAGGCACAGGCCGGCGCATACCGCTCATGGAATCCCTCACCATATGAACTCTGACCCCTCAAGTGTACAAGTGAAGAGACACCATGTGTCAGCTGCTTTTTAGAATAGTATTTCTTCTCTTCTCTGAGAAACAAGGGTATGAAAAGAACAGCCAGAAACAGAGGAAGAGAGGCACAACGTGACTACGTAAATGCACTCTCCTAAATATTAAACGAGTAAGAGGTGAAGAAACACAAAGCCAGAAATTGAAAAGAAAAGGCACCATCATGCTTCCCCTTAGAATAGGGTGGAAATTATGAAGACCCAAATTATGAAGAGGGGACATGGGATACTAGTGAAGAGGGACAACAGTGAAAAGGCCCAACGTATCCAGCGTACTAGCACTCTCCAAAGAGACAGAAAGTCAAAGTATACGCCGAGAGGCACAACGTGACTATGTAAATGCACTCTCCCGTATAAATTAGTTCAAGGGAAAGGGGGTGAAAAACTAAACTAATCAAAAGAAGGAAGTAGAGAGGCCTAAATGCCCTCTCCTAGATTCAGTTAAAGGAAAGAACTGGGGAACAAACAAGTACAGGAGGAAAGGCCCAACGAGTCAACGTCAACACACTCTCCTAGAATAGTTCCAGGTAAACGGGGTAGGAAGAATATAGTAAGAAACAGAGCTGAAAAGGCGTCCAAGAACGCTTTCCCTCTAGTCCAGGGTGAACATGTAGGATAAGAAACAGAGATAGAGAGCACAACAACCTATCTCTTCGTCAGATGCACTCCCCCGCCTGGATAAGCGACTCTGTGCCCCATCCCCCTCTATCGGACCTTAGATCCGCAGAGGGAGAGGGGAGGGACCAACCCCAAGGGGGGGTTTAGGGTTTTAAAAGAAAACCCCTGCAGAGATCCAAAAATGGATGAAGAAGTAATTACAAAACGGTTTATAAAACCAAGAGGTTATTCCTCATATTCCTAAAATGTTCTAATCTAATTCAGGGTTATACCAACTCAGCTCCGAGCAACCAGACGTAGCAACCAGTCAGTCCAGTCAGAACCTTCTCTAAGGTCTCCCTCGCCCCCAACCTACTAATCATAAAATAAACAAAAAACATCTCAAGGTGCTTCACCAAAAAGGGGGAACATTTGATATCAATTCATAGTCATTCTTGTATTATTTATAATTATTTGGGCTGTTTTTTTATAACTATTATTATTTATTTAAGTAGGTTATATGTTTTTGTTTATTTTCTTTTTTTAATCATTTTTTTCCTTTTGTATTTCATTGACAAAAAAGAAATGCTTTCAGATCTAGACGTAAAAAAAAAATTTTTTTGTTCTACTAACAACTCATAGTACTACCTACTACCTACTGCATGTAAATAAATATGATTTGTGTGTAGAGCAAAGTGCATTCATGGACAAACCAGGTCCAACAATTAAAAAGTGTAAAAAAAAGGGTAACATTTGAGTCATTATAGTACAAAAGTTAAATATAGTGAAATGAATAATAATTGTATTTATTATAGCACCTTTCACAGAAATATAATTCACAAAGTGCTTCACAAGTAAGAACAAAAATTCAAATTTAAGACCACAGAAACATGAATGCAATAACAACATGAGGCAGACATTTAAGGTCAACATAAAAACAAAACACAGACCACGTGGAGTCCTGTAAGGAACAAACATATCACACACATTTCAAGTAGAGACAAAAGCCAGAATGAAAAGATTCTCCCTCCCTTTCAGCCCAATCATCCGGCCCTCCCTCCCGGCCCCTCTCCCAGCCTCATGGAGAGCGCTCTGTTAAAGGTTTGGGCAGAAACCCCACCATTAAGATCAGCCGCGCCACCAGAGTCTCCGAGCAGTGGAACGCCTCGCTGGACCGAGAGATCACCAACGCCAACGAGCTGCGGCACCTCGACGAGTTCCTGGGCAACCAGGTGGGTGAAAACAACACCATTTAAGCTTATCAAAGCAAGACATTTCAAAGTCAATCTTTCAGTTTGTGTGTACAGACAGAGATAGAAATACCGTTTCTCACAATCCCGAATTCAAAAATGTAAATATGTATAAAATATGTATATCCTATATATACACAATCAACAGACACATTTATACATATGCACACATTATGTATATACGTTTTTGTGTATGAATTATACGTTTTTGTTTTTGTATGATTTTAGTAGAATAAATAATAAAAAAATATACAAAATAACAGTCACTTCAATAATAACTAATAATAATTGAATCGTATTAACCCATAAAACTATTTGTGTGTTTGTTCTCTCTTTTACAGGTGAATGATTTCCGCTCCAGGGGGAAGTCGCTGTCAGCCACAGAGGCCATCTTTGTTACAGCCACCATGCAGTTCAGAGAGACCATCAAAGCCATGTACTCTCTCCCTGTGAGTGTCTGCAGGAGCATCACACACACTTAAAGGGATTTATTATTTGGGTGTTTTGAAGGGCGTTGATTGAGTTACTGAGTTCCTACAGTAGATGTTGGTTAGAACTCCCCAGGTTTAGAGAAACAGACAGTAGCAAGAAGCTAAGCCATGTACTACTGTGGACGGTGGCAGGAGCAAATTAGTTTAGTCAACATTTACAATACTTTTACCGCTTTGCCTTGCCATCAAACCGCTATTTCCGATGGAGATGAAAAGCTGTTATGTCTCTACAAACCCACCAGACTCTTTTCACAAAATGTTTTATTCTACCATGCAGTTGCTGGTCTACGCTGCCTCAAACATATTGTGTGTTTGTCTTATAGGGAGACTAAAAGGGTGTTTTAAAAGGCATAATTAAAGTCACACAGTAACACAAAAAACGTCCCAAGCAAGGCAGTGTGACACCAGCAACTTCCGATGTTCTGTGAGGTTAAAATGACTCTTTTGCTCAATGGAGTCTGGTGGCTTAAAGGAGAGATAAAGGCTTTACCTCCCCTTTCATAAGAGCTGTCTGACGCCAAAGCAAAGGGGTAAAACCATTCAAAATATAACATAAACTAATATGTCATTTTAGAAGGGGCCTTTTAGTACATTAATTGTTTAGTTTCTGTATGTAATGCACTGTGTATGTTAAACACCTCATACAACCAACATCCAAACACGATATTGGAAAAAACTGACATTATGATTTTTTCCCCCTGCGATATGAAAAAATACAGGAATTGAAGAAAAGACCTTTTTTTTTGTCCGCAAACTATCCTTTCTTGAACTTTAGTGCTATACAATTGGTATTTTTCTAACTATATTTAACCGGATGAAGGATTTTAGTCATGGACGTCTGGATCTTAAGTTATCAGAGCAACAAGCTGAGCTAGCTCGGATAGCAGCGCCAAACTGCCCTGGAGAAACACATGAAACCACTTTATTCAGTGTTTTTACCTTTAATCACCGGGTCCGTTTGCTTTGGAGATTTGATTGTGATTGGTGGTTTGCTGTCACTCACTCAAGTACCCCTGACATGAGAGCCACGCGAGTTTTCCTTTTGTAGCAAGCAGCAAAAATAATTGTAACATGACATGTTTGAGTTCATTTGCCTACTTAATATCGCACGTCCTAAAACATTTTTTTAAATCGCACATCCTGCGATGTGAATATTGCGCATATCGCGATTATCGTCACGACACGATATATCGTGCAGCCCTAATCCAAACTATCCCTTAAACACATACTGGTCAAAGTTCTTCCTCCTCACCATCCTCTCCTCTTCCTCACCCTCTCTCCTGTCCCCTGATCTCCTCCAGAGACACACCATCGGCTACAAAGGCCTGATGTCGGGCTACCAGAACAAAGTGATCCACCTGGCGGGGGAGGGGCAGAAAGGAGAGGTCCAGCTGGTGGTGAACCTCTTCCAGTCGGTGCTGGACGGATTCATCCGAGGAGAGATGAAGAAGGAGGAGGCCGAGCCCGCCAAGGTGCAAACACTGACCGTTATTATAAATTAGAGTATTAGTCATATTGTGAATAAAAACGTATTCATGCTTTTCCTCTGTGTGTTTTCCAGCCTGCTAAAACGAGGAAGAAGCGGAGGAAAAAAGATAAAAGTGTAAGTATGCATTTATTTCAGTTTTCTCACTAGTTGAGTAATAATATTTGTAATTTATTATGGATCAATACATACATAGACACACACCAATGCATGTGACACACACACCTTTACCCCTTCAAAGAAAAACATTTTATTTAGTGCCTTGTCTTTTGTTTTTGTTTTCTTTGCTGCTTTTATCAAAACATTTTTTTTTAAATTAAATTCTATTTTTTAACTGCATCGAGACAAGCCTGCTAAATGTTGTCATACCTGTGGGGGAAACTTCTGAAGCAATTGGAGTCAGGACTCAGAAAGACACGATGGAGAGCTGGAGCTTTGATGGCAAACACTGACGGTTTATTTGGAGCTTCGGCCGGAGAATTCACACGACATCAGGGGGTCCGCGGGGTCCTACAACGTATTACAAGTTGATAAATCAATTTAGCGAAAATGAAGGCTATTAAAAAGAATTAAACGGCATTTTCCAAGGTATTACATTTTGTAGCTTGTTTTCAATAAGTATATAAATGGTCCAAAGAGGTTGTATTCTACAGTCTGCCTGAATGTAATCATTGCGTAGGTGTGTAGTGTGATTCTGTGTAGTTTATTGATGGCATCCCGTTGGATTTGACGTCATCTGAACAGGACATCGCACGCTCACTGCTTGATAGCGCGAAGGTCCGTTTACGCCGGTTGCTAAACAACATCGTTATGGGGAAATGTAAGTCTGCGTCCAAATGGTTGGAAGATAAGGAGGAAGGACAATCAATACTGTATATAGTCAATGTGAGGTAAAGTGTGTCGCCAAGGTAACCGGTTAAAACTCAAAGTGGAGATGAGGTCTTAAAATGTATGGAAAGGGTCTTTAAAAAGGTCTTACATCTGACTTCAGGATTCCTGCATACACCCTGGACATGTCACGGGCCACGAGTTGACCACACGGTTGAGATGCCACAATAAATTCTGAAGAGCCGTCCTGTAGCTCCAGGTTTTAACTAGTTCAGAGTGTAATAATCAACATTCTTCAATAGATAGACTAAACAGCTGAGGACACTGAATCACATTTGTTGAATGTGAAGGATGTGTTCCAGGTGTCCCACAACAATAACTATCTCTGACCGAGAGTTGCCCGGTCACAAACTGGCATCAACAACAATATGCTAGAGCAGCCCCTCCTTATGGGAGATAACGGCTGCTCAAGGTTGGTCAGCTGCGTCAGAGGGCGAAGGAGGACATGCAGAGCAAATGATTCCCCAACAATACCCATGTTTAATGACCATAACAAATCTTCTGAGTCTAATTTTTTGTGGTTTGTGTTTTTAGATGGAGAGCCCGCTGGATCATGTGTTCGTCAACTATCAGGTCAACATCATGCAGTCATGTGACCAGTGTCCCTCTTACATCTGGGGCATGGAGAAGGCCTACATGTGCAGCTGTGAGTTAACACCCCAACACAACTCCTTTTATATATAATATTGTTTTCTCTATTAGTGTTCAAATATTTGTATGCAGTGGAATATCTCATATAATATACACTGATTCAGAACATACATGTATTTATCTTGTCTTACAGATTGTAAAATGGTGTGCCACAAGAAGTGTCTCTGCAAAATCATCATTGACTGCTCCACTTTCTCTGCCAAAAAGGTACGTTTTATACTGTAATTAAAATATATGGGGGGTTGAAGTGAGGCTGGGAATTATGCAGAAGACCGACTATGTTTAAGCAATAGCTCACGACAGGCTGTGGTATATGCTCATTATATCACAGCTGTGATATAATGAGCATATACCACGGCCTGAAGCGAGCTATTGCTTTTATAAAACGGTTACCAAGTGTGGCAATATGAAATAAAAATACACACTCTAATTTAAATAGTTTTTATTAGTAAATAATGATGTTCAAAATAAAATAGTCCCTCCGTTGCCTTCTGCACAAAACATGCAAGGTGGTTGCTATGCAACAACACTAACAGCTAGCGAACATATTAGACAGAGAGCGTTGATCCATTATTTGGTTATTTATTTACATTCATGTGTATGTTGCCGTTTATTGTGCAGCCACTGAAAACCTGTCCAGCATCAGTAGCATGGCTTACGAGGTTACTTGTATAGGTTGAGGTTGTTCTAGGCTGTTGCTTGGCGTGGCGAGAATATTGCTCCACTTTCTCCGGTCCCCGAGATTCGGCTTCCAGCAGCTCTGGAGAGAGCTTTCGCACCTGTGGCCACTAACGGTCATCATTTCTCTGCTTTGTTTCAAGACCTGCATCAGAAAGCTTTTGAATGGTGGTACTTCTCCAGTTGGTCTACCTGCTCTTCACGTAGCTCTGCATGTCGTCATCTAGGTGCTTTCTGGAGATAGGCACTGCTCAATCCACTCCTCCATAGTGAGACCCCCCGGAGGTCGAAGTTAACCTTAAATGTTTCCATCTTAAGCTTTGTTAGTTAGTTAGTTTCGTAACGGACGTAATGTAACAGCTGTAACGGTTGTAGCTTTTCTCAGACGCGGAGGGATAAAAAGTGAAAAGTAACTACAAGTCTACCCGTGATATACGCTCATTATATCACGGCTAAGAACCAATCAGATTGCTTGATTTTACTTGTCCGTCGTATAACCTCATTTATTTAACAACGTATCTCTTGCACTAGAATCGACCATACGCTTTAAGTTGGAAGAGTTATTGACTTTATTACTGTCTGTCTTCTTAGATTGATGTCTCGCTATTACAGTATTAAAAGTGACATTTAGGAAGCCTTATTTTCATCATCAGTAGCAAAGCTAAATTTAAATTACAAAGGTTTTAAATTGCTTCCTCAGGATCAGATGGTAAGCTTTACTGGAGAGTGTGATTTTGTGTGGATGGATGTTATAAGTAGTTTTTATTGAGTGAACTACATAATAATAGGTCTCCCTGACGTCCTGTCTGTCTGTTTGTCCCTCTTCTCATCCTCTGTCTGTCTGTACCCACAGAGTGACGAGGAGTGTGCCGGTCTTCACTTCGGGGTGCGAGTGGGTCGCCTGGTGAGCGATAAGAACCCGGTGCCGATGGTTCTGGAGACGATGCTGGAGCACGTGGAGATGAACGGCCTCTACACCGAGGGCATCTACAGGAAGTCCGGCTCGGCAAACCGCATGAAGGAGCTGCACCTGAGACTGGAGACCGGTCAGAACACTATTCTTATCTCAAAGAAAACTCATGGCTCCTTTATTTGTATCAGAATCAGAATCCCTTTATTAGTCCCACAGACGGGAAATGTACATTGTTACAGCAGAAAAGAGCCAAAGACAGATTAATTTGAACTAAGAAGCATGCATAAAAAAGTATTAAAGATACATATGTATATATTGCACATACAGCACGTATTTGTATTGATGTGTGATTGTTGATGTGTGCAGACCCCCACCTGGTGATTCTGGAGGATTACCCCATCCACACGGTGACAGGTTTGGTGAAGCAGTGGCTGAGGGAGCTGCCAGATCCTCTCATGACCTTCACTCATTACAGCGACTTCCTGCACGCAGTGGGTGAGGACCACCTTCCCCACCAGGGGGCGCATTTTACACATCTTTTCCTGGGTTCAAGATTCAAGGATTCAAGGCTTTTATTGTCATGTGTGCATAGCTACAGTGTAGTTATGACAATGAATATCTTAGGTCACAGGCTCCTCCAACAGTGCAACACAATAAAACAGATAATAGTTCAAGTAAATAAAGTCTATTTCATCTGCAGCTGGGTTGTAGATATCTGAAGTTGTTTATGACAGTGTTTTTGTGAATGGTTACGGCGTGTCCGCGGGGTCTTAAAAAGTATTACAAGTTGATAAATCAATTTATCTAAAAAGAATTAAACGGCATTTTCCAAGGTATTCCATTTAGTAGCTTGTTTTCAATAAGTATATAAATGGTCCAAAGAGGTTGTGTTCTACAGTCTGCCTGAATGTAATCATTGCGTAGGTGTGTAGTGTGATTCTGTGTAGTTTATTGATGGCATCCCGTTGGGTTTGACGTCATCTGAACAGGACATCGCACGCTCACTGCTTGATAGCGCGCGGAGGTCCGTTTACGCCGGTTGCTAAACAACATCGTTATGGGGAAATGCAAGTCTGCGTCCAAATGGTTGGAAGATAAAGAGGAAGGACAATCAATACTGTATATAGTCAATGTGAGGTGAAGTGTGTCGCCAAGGTAACTCAAAGTGGAGATGAGGTCTTAAAATGTATGGAAAGGGTCTTAAAAAAGGTCTTGAAAGGTATTACATTTGACTTCAGGATTCCTGCTTAGACCCTGGGTTAGTAGTTGGGGCTGAAGTCCAATTAGGAGAAAAAACTCACGCATATTTTCGAATCCCGCCATTTTTGCCCTTGAATCTGCTTCTGTATCTGAAAGGATTTATTATTCCTGATTAAAACCGAAATTGGTTATTAATGCTTGATAATGGGGTTTGATTTATGAAATGTTTTCTCCTGTAGAACTGCCAGAGAAGGAGGAGCAGCTTCACGCTGTTTACAAACTCCTGGAGGAGCTTCCTTCAGCAAACTTCAACACGTTGGAGAGACTCGTCTTCCACCTCGTCCGGTAGGGAGACACTCATCGTGGTTTCTATATTTTATATCGATCATGACATTAATCCATAAAGGCCACTCAAAATGTACTACACACAACATTACATGTAAGGTAAGGTACGTTTATTTATATAGCACATTTTCAGACACAGAGGCAATTCAAAGTGCTTTACATCAACATTAACACTTAAAGGTGGGGTAGGTAATTTTGGAGAAAGCAGCTCGAGTGCGCTAGAATTTGAAAATACACAGCAGGAAGAAATCTGCCACTTCCTTCAGACTTCCTCACAGAGCCCCTCCTCCAACACACACGGACGCACACATGACCAATGAGGGCACGAGATAAATGTGTGCACAGATGGAAGGCTGACAGGCAGGTAGGCCATCCAGTTACTTTAGCCGGCTCAGATGATTGGTCGTGCTTTTTACAGCGCCACGGCTTCCACAGATGAGGTTTTTGTATGTATTTATTGTCAAAGCATTTAATATATTCATTGCTATCAGGATGTTAAGAGCATTCCATGGAATATAACAAGTGTTTCTGGAGTGAATTACCTACCCCACCTTTAATAAGAAGGAAACACAATAAATAAACATAATGGAATAACAGATTCAGGCATAAAAGAGATACAGAATAGTTTAAAAACAACATTGTAAATACGGTACGTGCTAAAACAAGTTAAAAGACTTCTGGGTAAGCAGTGTTTTTAGCCTCGACTTAAACGAGCTCAGCGTTGGTGAGCATAAAACCTAAAAGCAGCTTCGGCGTGTGTGAAGCTGCTCCCATGCTGATGTCTTGTCTTGTGTTTCAGGGTGTGTAAAGATGAGGCTCACAACCGCATGTCTCCGAACTCTCTGGCTATAGTTTTTGCTCCGTGCGTCCTGCGCTGCCCGGATAGCGCCGACCCGCTGCTCAGCATGAAGGACGTCGCCAAGACAACCACGTAAGACAAAACCGCAAAATCTGCTCTTTGATCGAGAAAAAAAAAAAAAGGAAATCTAAATGAATGAATCCGTGATCCTGTCGTCCATTGTTTATTAGCAAACAGCACCATCTGCACACAAGGCTTCAAAACCAGGACGACACTTTCAAACTATTTTCTGTTTCCTGATAAATATAGTAAATGTGGGGGAAACGTCTGTAGCAATGGGAGAGTCAGGACTCAGAGAGACACGAGGAGAGCTGGAGCTCTGATGGCAAACACTGATTATTTGGAGCTTCGGCCAGAGAATTCACAAGACATGTCACGGGCCACGAGTTGACCACACGGTTGAGATGCCACAATCAATTCTGAAGAACCCTCCTGTAGCTCCAGGGTTTAACTAGTTCAGAGTGTAATAATCAACATTCTTCAATAGATAGACTAAACAGCTGAGGACACTGAATCACATTTGTTGTCGCTTATGGCTCGGGGTCATCTCCACCCCGAGAAGGATGTGTTCCAGGTCCCACAACAATAACTATCTCTGACAGAGAGTTGCCCGGTCACAAACTGGTGACATCAACAACAATATGCTAGGGCAGCCCCTCCTTAAGGGAGATAACGGCTGCTCAAGGTCGGCCAGCTGCGTCAGAGGGCGAAGGAGGACATGCAGGGCAAATGATTCCCCAACAGTAATAATAAATAATAATAATACATTTTATTTAAGGCGCCTTTCATGACACCCAAGGACACGGTACAATTTGTTAAATATTCTAAGAGGCAACAGAACATGATAAAAACACAAACATACCATCATGGAGAAGACAATTAAAGTGGACACAAATGATAGGATACAAGCGGCCGAGATGGGTTTTCTCCGCAGGGTGGCTGGCGTCTCCCTTAGGGATAAGGTGAGAAGTTCGGTCATCCGGGAGGGACTCGGAGTTGAACCGCTCCTCCTTCGCGTCGAAAGGAGCCAGTTGAGGTGGTTCGGGCACCTAGTTAGGATGCCACCTGGGCGCCTCCCTAGGGAGGTGTTCCAGGCACGTCCAGCTGGGAAGAGACCAAGGGGTAGACCTAGGACCAGGTGGAGGGATTATATCTCTTCTCTGGCCTGGGAGCGCCTTGGGATCCCCCAGTCAGAGCTGGTTGATGAGGGGAAAGGAAAGTTTGGGGCTCTCTGCTGGAACTGCTACCCCCGAGACCCGACCACAGATAAGCGGGAGAAGATGGATGGATGGACAAATGATAGGGACGGGTTATTCAGGGGAAGCAGGTGATGGGGAGCACTACAGTGAGTAGGCTGATCTGAACAGGTGGGTTTTGAGGAGGGTCTTGAATGTGGTGATTGTGTCAGACTGTCGGATGTGAAGGAGGGAGAGAGAGTTCTATAGTTTGGGAGCAGTGCAGCTAAAAGCCTGAGCCGCCATCGTGACTAGTAACTTTGAATCGCCTGATGTCTCCGTCCCTCCTCCTGCAGCTGTGTGGAGATGATCATCAACGAGCAGATCCGACGCTACAACGAGAAGATGGAGGAGATCGAGCAGCTGGAGTTCGCAGAGGCTCTGGCCGTGAATCAGCTCAAACTCAAGAGACAGAACACGGTGAGAAACAAAATCAACGCAAACTTTATTTAAATCAGTGTTGTCTAAATATCGCTGCATAACTTCATGAAGTGTGAGCTCAGCCTCGTGTCTGGAGGCAAAGGACAGAGCTGGAGTCTTAACTGAAGTACTTTACCTGAGTGTTTTATACTTTTACCAAACTACATTTTGAAAGACGTTATTGTCATTTGTACTCCACTACAAATATTTGACAGATTCAGATTACTGGCTAATACAAAGTCAAGATATCCAGCAGTAGTATATCACATAATTAAAATGAGCTCTACTTTTACTAGCTGTGTTTGTATGGTTCTAAAATGGGCTTTTACTCACAGTAAGTACTTTTACTTTAATGCCCATACTTGTACTTAGATTCTGATGCAGAACTTTACTTAGAGTATTTTTACACTGTGGTAATGTTACTGATCACACTACATGCAGGTGTTGCAGGTAACACATTTTTTGTATTAATGATCTGCTAGATGATATTTTGCACCCACAAACATTGTTTACATTTTTCAAGAAGAGTACAATTTTGAAAGCAGGACTTTTGCTTGTAACAAAGTACTTTTTTAAAATGTAATATTCCTACTTTTACTTGAGGAAACCTTCTGAGTACTTCTTCCTCCATGCTAAAGTAATCCCTTGGGTAACCCGGCGTGTTCCTTGTCTCTCTGTAGCACTACTGGCACTTACCGCTCAGGTGCTCAGCTCCTTACAAAGGAGTGGTGGTACGTATCATCGCTCTCAGTAGAAGTAGTTCCAGTAGAGCCGTGATGCATGGCATGGTAGATGTGGGTGATGCTCTGGCTGTTTATCATGTTATCCTCCCTCCCATAATCCTTTGTACTCTTCCTTACTAACTGGTAGTCGTTTGCATGTTGCTGTTGGATGTCCTGGGTTTGTGTTGTGATGATGTGTTTGTCTTATTTCAAAGACAAAAGCCTGACAACACTGTGACCTGTCATCAATCATGCATCTGTATTTATTTGTCTTGTTTCAGTGCCTTCTTTATCTTAATGCACCGTCTTATCTAAAGCTCTGAAAGTCATGTTAGATTCGTTGTTGTTGGATGTTTCTGGAGCGGGTTGATTTGACCTTTATCATAGCTTAACTGTTTGCACGTAGTCGGCTCACACCAGTTCTGTTGTGAAGCGATGTTAATTAGGGCTCGGTGATAATACAGTATGATAATGATTAGAACATGCTAACATCGTAAATCCAGATATCGTTGCACACAATTACATGCACTGTTACATCGTCTCAATTGCTAGCACATACTAACTCAAATGTCTCTTTTAGGGAACACAGTTCATTGCAATTAACAAACTAGATTTAATGTCATTTAAAAAAACGTTTTATTTAGAATATTTGTGTTAATAGCAAAACATATATATATTATTTTGCCCTATAATTACTCTTGAAGCTGTTGCAATACAGTTCTAAATCAAATGGAAAAAGTAGGTAATTTACGCAGGAGTATTTAAAAAAGGGTTAACCATGTGATTTTTTAAATCTAAATTGTTTATATATTGATTACCAGAATACATGCTGAATTGTTGAGATATAAATAGAAGGATAGACGTTTTTTGCCATTTTTCCGAGCCCTAGAGATATTGTCTTTAGTTAGTTTTGTATCTAACCCCTCAAAGTAGTTGCTGCAGGAGTGATGTTCAGATGCATGAAGCCCCTCCCCTCCTCCTCACTAACAAAAGCTCTCAGATTTGGGTCATGTCTTCTGTGTGGTTATTATATATGAATATAATAATGACCTGATATTGTGAAGGAGAGTGTGTCGAGGTGTCAGTTGTTGATGCTCTGTGTCTTGCAGGTGCACGAGAAGGTGACCTCTGACCTCAGCATGGTTCCTGAGAACGAGCCGGTGGACTCGGACACGGAGGCCGAAAATAACCTGGTGGAGCGGATCAAGTCCATCAAGCAGGAGAAGTGAGGAGGATTTCTATAGTAATGTATCTTTAGAGTGTCATAGAGAGGCGAAGTCCCGCCCTTCTACTTCCGCCCCATGGGACCTTGTTTCTGAAAAAGTATGTATTGAAGTCAATGGAGAGAGAAAGATTATCTTTCGATCCCGTTTGAATTGTGCCACGAATTCCACATATGATGTTTGTCAATCTTAAAAAATCATTTCCATGTCGAAAAAAGTCACAGTTTGTCGTAAAACTGTTGAAATATAAGACTATGAAAAATACGCAACTAGAAAGACTACAAATCCCAGAGTCCCGGTCCCGCATGCTGGCTCTTAGGAACCGACTAACTCCCCTTGTGTGTGTGCACAGCTCTCAACGTGCCCAGACTTGGAGTGATTTTCACCTCTTTTAATACTTTCCGCCTCATTCTGAGAGAAAGAAGTGAAATGTTTCAACGTGACGGCCGTCTGGGTGTGAGATGAGAGATGTAGTTCATCGAGCGGTTTCACACAGAAAAAAGTGTGTCACAGTTTTACGACACATTTAAAAAAAATTGACTTGCAAAATTATCTTTTAAATTGACAAACATCATATGTGTAATTCGTGGCACAATTCAAACGGGATCGAAAGATAATCTTTCTCTCTCCATTGACTTCAATACATACTTGTTCTGAAAGGGAGGGACTTCAATGGGAATGCAGGATTATGGTCAATATATCACTTATTTGATCGAACTGATATCACGGTTATTCCTTTTTTTTTACTGAATACTTTAATTGCACTTTCACATTGAATAAACAGAGCAATATTTGTTCTTCCATGTTCTGCTTCAATCCTGCAAGTGTGGAAAACCGGGTTTACAACAAATTAGATAAATCTGACATTGCAATAATAATGTTTTTCTGTGAAGTGTATTGCAATGTGAAAAAAGAAAATTCCCGCTGAATTTGAAGTAAAACGCATGAATTTGTTGCATTTTGAAAGCAAAATTAAGAGTCTACATTAAGAGTATAGACATGTTTGTGCTCTTGCAAATATGTTTTATTATTAAACCTGTCTTAGATAATAATGCAAAGATAAAAATGACAGCACAGTGTAAGATATGTGATTGAATTGAAGGCAGCACCATACAGTATTACGATTATTGTGTAAATACGGTGTTTATAAGATAAGACTTTATTTTTAGCCAGCTGTGCCCGAGTTACAAAAATACAATAAGCACAGCAGCACAATAATACAACTGTACACTAACTGTAAAAAGAGCAATTCAATATCTACAGGAAACACAGATGGTCACATAATTCATGTAAATATGAACAGTATTTAGTGCAAAAGAAACGTAGTGGCAGATACGTAATTGGACGGTATAGGTTATATGCTGATGAACCATCCCTGCTCCTCCATGTTTCTGACCTCCTCTCTCCCCAGGGAGGATCTGGCCTGCCGGCTCCCTGAGATGGAGCAGCCCGGCTCAGATCAGGAGAACTTTGACTCGGAGGCGTCTCTGAGCTCCGAGAGTCTCCTGGAGGAGCCGCAGCGCTCAGAGCCTGAAGGTGAGTAACAACCCCCCCCCCCCCCCCCTCTCTCTCTCTCTCTCACCTGTGGGTTTCTGACCAGACCAGCCCTGTGTTTTGTGGTGCAGGTCTGGACCAGTGATGGTGATGGGGGCAGTGACGTCTACTTTGTAACGAGCAGGTTGGAGGAACAGCCGCAGTGTTTTGTGTGTGTCTTGTGCGTGTGCATAACCCTTTTATGCATGTTTTTGCATGTTTAACACAGAAGCATGCACAGACTTTGTAGAGATACAGAATGTCATGTTCAGTGATGGGATAGGCTGCACCAAATGTCAAACTTATTAAACGGTATCTTCTGTATTTTTCAACCTGGACCTTATTTTTTAAGGTTTTTGTGACTAACGGGAACCACTAACTATTCTCTCACCTGATGTATGTCCACTAAAACATGTCATGTAATATTAGTCTCAGTCTGTTACAAAAGAAACATCGACCCCGATCATTCTCACTCAATACTTTATCAATTTTTGTTTTATTGTTGTCGTCATTGGTCACAAAGCACAAATAGGGTCCATGTTGAAAAATCCCAAAGTCTCTCTTTAATGATCATTTGGCTCAGATGTTTGCCTCCATTCATGCTCTTCCATTCATCTTCACCCTCATCGTTGCATCTTAGGATCTATTAGAGAAAACACGTTTATCGTCCTCTCCCTCCTCCCTGTCTCTCTTCCAGGACGTGGCTCCCCCTCCCAGCAGAGGTCCCGTCCGAAGTGTCTCCCCAAACCCTCGGAGCTGTCTTTGCGCCGTAAAGTCTCTGGAGGACGCCTCTCTCTGCGGCAGCTCTCCCCTCCAAACTCCACTTCCTCCTCCTCCTGCAGGAACCCACTGCAGCGCCGCACCCCCATCATCCCCCACGGCTCCGTTAGACTCCCCCATGGCGTCCTCCCGCAGGCCTCCAGTGCGTCTCAGCCCCCGTCTGCAGCTCAGGCGCTCCAGTTCCTGGTGCGCAGGCGGGAGCGTTCGGGTCGTCATAAAGAAAGCACGCAGTCGCTATACTTCGATGGGTCCGAGGGGGGCGACCTGATGCTGCACTTCTCCTCCTGCCCCCCCTCCACCGCCTCCTCCTCCATCTCCATCTCCACCGCAAAACCAACTCCTCAAAATCAAGACACACACGCTACAAAGAGCCAGAGACGATTTTCTGACCCCGACATTCCTTACATGGACGATGAGGTGTGATTCTAGTCTGTTGGAAAGCTCAGAGTCCTGTTGTGAACCCGAAGTGTTGATTACCCCAAGGTTTTATGATATAAATGTATAGTACGGGTCGCCAGAACATAGAAACAGCTGGAGGATAACTTGCATATGTTCGGCAATTTGCACAATTAGCACAAATTGCCATAATTCGCATTAATTGGCATATGCAGACAATAGTTTAAATGATGGCTAATTTGGACAATTTCTGAGTGGATTTGGAGGTTATTGAGGATGCTGAATACATTTCTGACATTTTCAGGGTCAAAAATTGCAGTTTTATTCAGAAAGTAGTCGTATCTTGGGCTGATTTTGATGAGTTTTGGGCACATTTTAAAGTTTTAGGGGACTCAGAACTGCCATCCTTAAAATGTCAGAAATGTATTCAACAACCTCAAAATACTCCGAAAACCGCACCAAAATGGTCCAAATCAGCCATTTTGTAGCTATTGTCTGCATATGCTAATCAATGCAATGTATACTAATTGTACAGATTGCCCAACATATGCAGGTTAGCATCTGGCAGTTTCTATGTGCTGGGGACCCGTACTATACGTTTGAACAAAGAACACTTGGGGTGCGCTACATTTTCGAGTTCACCCTGCTGGCAAGTAGACTCATTTGGGAGAAAATTATGGATTTACGGGCAAAAACCGCAGAAGAAATAACAATTATGGATGAAAATGATCCGGAATCACAACCCTTTTCCTGTGAACATGAGGAGAGTTGCAGCGGATCTACAGAACTGCTTCAGCCTTACTGTCCTCTATGACGGTTATATAAACGACTGGACCACATGTTGCCAAGCACCTTTTTCTACCGTTTTAATATATTGTCCTTGAGGCTGTTTTCTGTAGCATCATAATGATGGACCAGCAATTCTATTTCCTTCCCCCTGTTGTTCTTTTTTAAACACATGTGTGCTAATTCAAGGAGATTCTGCAGGTTCCAGCAGCACTTCTCCTCATGAGCAAAACTCTCTGAAATGTTAGCTAGTGCCTTGGTGATGTACAGTACAAACTCATGTGGGGTTAAGACAGGGTACAATTTGAATTAAGGTCTTTAAACGTGTCTTTCCACGCTCCGCACAACAAACAGGAAGTCATCGCCTCACAAAGGGAAACGGGAGCAGCACACGCCACTTTCTCCTTTGAAATAAATACAACTCAAACCCAGCCGTGCCCCGACGTCTTCAGAGCCCCTCGAACTCACCTCGCCCACTTTTTTTTTTTTTTTTCTACAATGAACTTCTCTCAGCTGCGACTCAAAGCGAACAGAGCTTTGTATGAAATGTAATACTAATGTTCCTCTCTGACTGCTGTTGAATGGTGTCTGTGTTAGTCTGTGAGGATGTGTAACAGAGAGCGTGTGGTTGGGACTGAATGACTGTAATGGTTATTAGTATTAACGTGACAATACAAAACGTGATGATGCTTGTTACATCTGCTGCTGTGTGTGTGTGTGTTATTATCTCCTCCAAACAGGGACATTTTATTTCATTAAAACTAATATAAGCAGTGACAACTATACAAAAGCAATACCTTTTTGAAGGGGCATTTTAAATAGACGTGATAGTTTTAATTGCAGCAAAATGGTTCAGTGGTTTTATACTTTTGGGAGTTTCCCCTTTGTGTGCATGTAAATGGTCGGCAGAGGCTAAAATCCCTGTGTGCCCTCTGGAGTTTCTCTCCCACACGCTCAACTTACATTTTTTGTTAATTTTGCAATTCTACAGTATGTTGATTCACAATTAATACAAGTTGTTTTGTCTTTTAAAAATAAACAACAAGAGCTTGATTAAACGTTATACAGTAGGGAATCAAATTCCATTTTCCAGGCTCTTCAGCTCAGGTCTAATGTTAAGCAACAACCGTCGAGATGAGGTTTTTCTTTTGTGGTCGTAAAAGAGCACAACTCGAAAGATTTAAACAAAAGGTAGAGATTCTGTTATCTAAACTCTTTCTTAAATGAAGGTTTGATTTTGTGTTTTATAGAATAGGGAGGGATGAAAGAAACCCTCTTTAATGGCCTCACATGCAGAGCACACGGCACACGGTGACATGTGTTCTCTGCCATCATAGTGCCAGGAGTCTAGCACTAGGAGCAGTAGGCAGCTAGTGTACAGCGCCCGGGGAGCAATGGGAGTGAGTGGGGAAGGGGGTTGTCCGGTGCGTTGCTCAAGGGCACCACGGCAGGGCAGGAGGTGAACTGGGACCTCTCCAAGTAGCAGTCCACACTCCATATTTAGGTTTGGTCGGGGACTTGAACCGGAGACCCTACGGTTTTAACAGGACAGTTAAAGTGGTTTAAGAATTTTAAAACAACATTTTATATTCTGCATGGAAACACAACCATTAAGCCAGTTTGTACTGAACTTTGCAGGTTGCCATTACTCATGGCTAAATATTTTTATATTTGTTCACATGCTGCCGGAGAGTAGTTGAACCGAAGTGAACCCACATGCACTTTTTCAGGAACAAGGGGAAATAAACCTGGGTTTTAAATTGGAGGAGATACAGGACGACTCCACCCATCAGGATCAGCAGGTATGTGTTCATATAAGTATCATCAATATTTCCTTTAATGTCAACTTAAATATATAATTCAATTTCAAATCAAACCAATGCATAACAATTTTACCACACACTCAAACATGTCAAAATCTAATAAAACAAGGCATGTGTAGTAATAAAATGCTGCATTGATTTCAAGTATTATTTATATAGAAACATTTGTATGGTCCATACATAAAAGGTGTTTGCCATAGTTATCCAGTGTTGTAACACAATGCTGTCTCCATTTGGGAGTCATGAAGTCACACGTTACGAAAAACTGTGACTTCTGATATTAAAGAAACCTAGAAGTACAATTCATGGATGTCACTTTTTAAGCATGAGGTCCTTTTATAAATTATCTTAAACATTCAAACTTAAAAACTATACTCAAGGGCCAGAAGAGTACATTAGAAGATCTTTGATGTGATTCATATTGAATGTAAGGCTGGTATAAAGTTGGACACTAATGCTTACTAGCTGTATATTCATATTATTCACTTTTTAATTATTAAAATCCCTTCTAAAAATAATTATTATAAAACCACAAAATATAATGATATTTATTGTTGTTGTTTTTTTTAATTGTTATTATCGTTATATTATATTTTAATTCATATAATATATATATATATATCAGAATTTCTTTCACTGTCTGGATAAATTGTGAATAATTCTGATTGGCCAGTGTACCGTGACGCTCCGCCTACGTCATTCCACCTCGACGTTGCTACTGCGGCTGTCAGCTTCAAACATGGCTTCTAGACTGGAGATCAATTTTATCAGATTGTTGTCCCGCTGTGAGTCTATAGCGTCGGAGAAACGAGGAGAAGCAGAATGGAGGTTAGAAAAGGTGAGAAGATTTAAAATAAAATATTGTCGTTTGGACCTGTTTTTATCTGACCTTATTAAGCTAGAGTTAGCATGACTGTTGTTGTTAGCTCTTAGCTCAGTTGTCTGTTAGCCACGTCGTCACTGAAACGCCGACACTGTTTTCTGTCATGTTGGCATTTTTATCCTCTGAAATATGTCCAAATATTAAAATGAAAACATTAACAGCTGTATAGTTGACTTGCAGATTGTTTTGCTAACCTTTTTAAGTTAGCTTACTGTATTAAAGACAGCTAACAGACATTAACAGTCACCAACGGTCAACAGTTAGAATTGGTGCAATGGAGTCGTGACCATAGCTTTAACTTAAATATACTTATATTCAGAGTTGGAAAAAGTACTCGGGTATTGTACTTAGATACAAGTAGAAGTACCAGAGTGTAGGAATACTCTATTACAAGTAATAGTCCTGGAACAAAAAGGTTACTGAAGTAAAAGTATTAGCATACAAATACTCATTGTGCAGATTGCTCCATTTCAGAATAATATATGATATGTTTTATTATTATTATTGATCATTAAAGTGTTCTCAAAGCTGGTGAAGGTGCAGCTAGTTTGAATGGCTTTGTATACTGCAGGGTAGCTTGTGAATTTACTCCAGGTGTATACACGTGTCCGTCTTTATTAAAGTGAAGAGGCCAGTCACCAAACCATTTGTATTGTTATGTTCCAAAGGTTGTAATGGGATAATATAAGTAGATAATTTGACGATTAACTTCACCAGCCCCTAACCAACAACCACAACTAGTCGAGTTAAATGTTAAGTTGTATATCACTGTGATATTCCACACAGCCTAGTTTCTAGCTTTTATTATTAATCATTAAAACATTTGAAGTGGTTGACAGCCACGATGAACATCTGGACAGGTTATTTAAATACTCCTGAATGTCCCCACTGGGGCTAATAAAGGTCCATCTTATCTTAAAACGTTTAGTCCTTAGAGCTGCTCTCTCTTAGATTTCTTATGCAATGAAGATGCAACTAAAGGGGCAGAGCTTAATTAATGTCAAGTTTATGTCTGTTTAAAACTGTATAAACATCCAAACTATTGTCAGCTGACATACAATCCTGTGTTGTCTGTCCTGTAGTATGTCGGTGCTCTGGAGGAGATGATGGTGGCTCTGAGGAAAAGCGTGAGGTAAGATCCCTATTATCGCTCGAGTGTCTTCATGTTTTCTATATCACTTATTTCTATTGCCCACAAGTCGATAACACGTTGTTTTCCACAGCAAACCCACTGCAGAATTACTGACTGAATACATGAGAAAAGTAGACTTCCTGAAAGGACTTCTTGAGGCAGACAAACTGGTCCGTGTTTATATTTTACAAACTTATAATATCAAGATTATTGTGATTTCCCATTATTTGCTGGATGTGTTTATTTGCACTTTGATATTTATGTTCAAAACAGAAGTCCACTCTCTGTTAGCCTTTATTGTTTTTGAACTGTATATCCTAAAAACTAACTAATACCATGAATTGATCCTTTGAGTTTTTCTCTGTTTTATGATCTCATGTCTCTCCCGCTCTCGTTCAGTCTTCAACGACAGAGAAGGCTTTAGCCAATCAGTTCCTCGCCCCCGGACGAACCCCCACGATAGCCAATGAGAGGATGCCGGTCTCTAAAACGGTCCACATGCAGACGAAGGCGCGATGCACCGGAGAGATGAGGGACGAGCTGCTCGGCACGGTATGATCAGACAAACACCGTACATTACAAAAATAACCAAACAATATGAATAGCAATTTAAAATATGGATAATTTGCCAGTAGGTAATAGTTCAAAATACAAATGTGTGTCAATGGATTCAAATCAAGATGAAATCACATGTGGAGATTTCGTCATACACAATTTACATTGTCTTAACTGTTTAAACAAGTTTGATGTTATATTTTGTATATTTGTTAATATACTAAAGTTCCTAGTCAAATTCAAAATGGGGTTCACGTGTTTTCACCATTTACTGGCAAAATGCTGTTAAAAAAACAACTAGATGTTAAAATTCACACATTTCCTTTTTTTCTGTCGTTACAGGGGTTGTCAGGCAAAGGTAAGACATGTTTTTCTAAGCGCCAAAAAAACGGTTAACCGAAATGTACATATCCTAAAAGAAAAATGTTGACAAAAAAACAAAACATTTTAATTTTGAAAAATAAATACATGTTCAAATAATTATAGAAACCAAGTCGAATCTCTCAAATGTATTGAACTGGTGATCACAGTTTGAACAGTTGACAGCTATAGGCCTACAGCTTTCATGCTTAAAACATATCTTGGTTTTTAAATGAAAGAGGGATCAGACACGAACAACATAACGGGTCAGGGTAACGTAACCCGTGACAACAGAGATCAACAACCTGTAACCTATGCACAGAATGCAGCTATTCAATATTCATTCTTCTTTAAGAATATGAGCATGTCTACTTGGGGGAGAGGCGGGTGCGGAGACGATTCACAATCAGGCCAGCTGTAGAGAAGACCCTCTCAGCTGGAATGTGGGCATAAGATGAGGTTTGAGTCTGCGTGATCTGCGTGTAGGGAGGGGCAGCAGCCGTATCATTAGCTAGAACCAGCTAGATCTGATGGATTTGGACATAAACACGAGTGAAGTATAACCGGACACGAGAGAGAGAGATCAGCACCTGCAGCTCTGCCCGCTGTGAGGGACCGGTGAGCGGAGCAAAACACACATTTAGACCTAACACACTTACCTATGGCACTGTCGTATACATTGAATTATTCCATTTGATCATATGTAATCAACTTAGGCATCACTCCCAAAAAAAAAATAAAAAAATTAATAGCTCATATTCATATTTTGAATATTAATTTAATCGTTCCCATCCCTAGTATATATACGGACAGACTTGCCTGTTCCTTACATAAACAGCTGAAAACTTGACGATTATTAGTGCTGGGGGGAAACGATTATTTTGAAAACGATTAATCGGGCGATTATTTGATCGATTAGTCGACTAATCTAACGATTATTTTTCTGTTGTTCAATTCATAAAAAATGTAATGTAAAAAAAACGTAATGTAAAAAAAAAAAATTTCACGATACTGTGTCTCAGGGGATCTTAATATTTAAGAACCTATTAATGTGTTATACCAGATTAACGGAAATAATCTCAGCTAACTGACGATACAAACCATGTTTACCAAAACAAAACACAAGTCTCATAAGAAGCATCTAAATGACCCCTGAGCGAAAAATGCTAACGGACATTGGCACAGAACTCAAGATAAAAGTACCCTTATTACTTATCGTAGCTGCACATACAAGATATCCGATTAAAGATGAGACTCCACAGATTATTTAGGTATATAGTATTATCACTGAGTGATCCGGACTCGCGACAAGGGAAGCAAATACAGTCATCACAACACGTACCTTCACAGAGCTTCTAGGGAGATCGTCTCACCGCCGTAGCTGTCAATCTGATCAAAAGACGTTTTCAATGGCAATAAAATGAGAAAAAACGCGGCTGAATCGGTTAATCCATAGGTTCTTAACGTCTATGTATAAAAAAATGATTGAATTTATAATCCATAATTCCATTTTTATGTAAAAATCGGAGAGCAAATGCTAGCTGCTAATGGTAGCCACCACAGCTAGCTGCTGCCTCCGGTCTAGGCTATGCAGCAGTGCTTGTGGGATATGCCAACTCCATTTGGCAAAGACTGCAAATGACAATATCTTTGCGTTTTGGACTAACTTAAAAATATTCCCATGCTTTTGAAGACCTAGGGCGAGATGTTTTCGTTTGGGGGCTTCGTGCGCAATCCTGTGAGGAGGGGTGGTAGCCGTTTCAGTCTCCATTGTATTTGAAGTGCGATTGCGAACTGCTTGTTGCTTTGGGTGACCCACGTGTGTGTACCGACGCGGAAATATGTCGTCGACGATATTTTGAAGTCGTCGACGCGTCGCTACAGCACTAATGATTATACTTATTATAAATATAAATATTATTATATTTAATAATGTAGCTTGCTGATTGACCTTTCTCTCCTCTCTACAGGCATGTCGGAAAACGAATTGCGAAACAGAAGGTAAAACCGCACGACGTATAATTTCTTCCTTTTTAAATACATTTTACTTTATTTATTTACTTTGAGCTTTAATCCCTTTCAGTAGTGTGTCTGTATTCAGTAAAGTGTTCATGCTGTGTGTGCAGAGGAGTTCCTATGGACGAGCGTCAGTCGGCGGCGGAGCTGGAGGCCGTGCTGCAGCACCACCACAACCTGCAGGAGAAACTGGCCGAGGACATGCTGAACCTGGCCAGGAACCTGAAGAACAACAGCCTGGCAGCGCAGAACATCATCAAGCAGGACAACCAGGTACCTACACACACACACACACACACACACACACACACACAGACATACACACACACACACACACACATACACACACACACACACACACACACACACACACACACACACAGACACACACAGACACACACAGACACACACCTACAGACCTACACACACACACACACACCTACAGACCTACACACACACACACACACAGACCTACACACATACACACCCACACAGACCTACACACCTACACACATACATACACGCACACACACATACACACCTACACACACACACACACACCCATACACACCTACACACCTACACACATACATACACACACACACACACATACCCACACACACACCTACACACACACACACACACACACACATACCCACACACCCACACACCCCTACACACCTACACACCCACAGACCTACACACACACCTACACACCTACAGACCCACACACCTACAGACCTACACACATACACACCCACACACCTACAGACCTACACACCTACACACCCACACACCTACAGACCCACACACCTACAGACCTACAGACCTACACACACATACACACCTACAGACCCACACACCTACAGACCCACACACCTACAGACCTACACACATACACACCCACACACCTACACACCTACACACCTACAGACCTACAGACCTACAGACCCACACACCTACAGACCTACAGACCTACACACACATACACACCTACAGACCCACACACCTACAGACCCACACACCTACAGACCCACACACCTACAGACCTACAGACCTACACACCTACACACATATACACATACACACCTACAGACCCACACACCTACAGACCCACACACCTACAGACCTACACACATACACACCCACACACATGCAGACCTACACACATACACACCCACACACATACAAAATTACGATATTTTCTTTTCTGTGGCATATACAATAGCTATATTTTTGGAGTTTATAGAGTGATGCAGGAATGAGTCTTAAAACCAGGAAATGTTTTCAGTTTTTAAGCACTTCCTGTTCCCTTGTCTGGAAGTCAAGGGTTTTCTGAATGTGTTTTTGGTTGTTAACCTGAAATAAGGTCTGTGGTTAACAAAAGCTTAAGAGATTTTAACATTTTGTTCCACGACATAAAATACGTCAGTAAATACTCCACTGATGAATTTAAAAACGGCGGTTGCTAACAAGTGTCTAAATGAGACGCACAACATTAGCCACCTTTAGCTTAGCGGTAGTGACGTGAAGTCATGTGACCGTGCTGTAGTTCCTTTATAGCCCAACATTAGCCACCTTTAGCTTAGCGGTGGTGATGTGAAGTCATGTGACCGTGCTGTAGTTCCTTTATAGCCCAACATTAGCCACCTTTAGCTTAGCGGTGGTGACGTGAAGTCATGTGACCGTGCTGTAGTTCCTTTATAGCCCAACATTAGCCACCTTTAGCTTAGCAGTGGTGACGTGAAGTCATGTGACCGTGCTGTAGTTCCTTTATAGCCCAACATTAGCCACCTTTAGCTTAGCGGTGGTGACGTGAAGTCATGTGACCGTGCTGTAGTTCCTTTATAGCCCAACATTAGCCACCTTTAGCTTAGCGGTGGTGACGTGAAGTCATGTGACCGTGCTGTAGTTCCTTTATAGCCCAACATTAGCCGCCTTTAGCTTAGCGGTGGTGACGTGAAGTCATGTGACCGTGCTGTAGTTCCTTTATAGCCCAACATTAGCCGCCTTTAGCTTAGCGGTGGTGACGTGAAGTCATGTGACCGTGCTGTAGTTCCTTTATAGCCCAACATTAGCCGCCTTTAGCTTAGCGGTGGTGACGTGAAGTCATGTGACCGTGCTGTAGTTCCTTTATAGCCCAACATTAGCCACCTTTAGCTTAGCGGTGGTGACGTGAAGTCATGTGACCGTGCTGTAGTTCCTTTATAGCCCAACATTAGCCGCCTTTAGCTTAGCGGTGGTGACGTGAAGTCATGTGACCGTGCTGTAGTTCCTTCATAGCCCAACATTAACCGCCTTTAGCTTAGCGGTGGTGACGTGAAGTCATGTGACCGTGCTGTAGTTCCTTCATAGCCCAACATTAACCGCCTTTAGCTTAGCGGTGGTGACGTGAAGTCATGTGACCGTGCTGTAGTTCCTTTATAGCCCAACATTAACCGCCTTTAGCTTAGCGGTGGTAACGTGAAGTCATGTGACCGTGCTGTAGTTCCTTCATAGCCCAACATTAACCGCCTTTAGCTTAGCGGTGGTAACGTGAAGTCATGTGACCGTGCTGTAGTTCCTTTATAGCCCATATAATGTTAGATTTTCACTTCAGAAATCCTAAAGTAGTGTTAATATGTTGGGATTATCCTGCTATCTAAGCATCATCATCAACATGTCTCTCCCCCTCAGACTCTGAGCCACTCGATGCGTCAGGCCGATCTGAACTTCGAGAAGCTGAAGACGGAGTCGGAGCGTCTGGAGCAGCACACCAAGAAGTCTGTGAACTGGATGCTGTGGCTGATGCTCATCCTCGTCTCCTTCTCCTTCATCAGCATGATCCTCTTCATCAGAATCTTCCCCCGGCTGCGATGATGACCGTCAACAACCCCCCCCCCCCCCCCCCGAACTCTTAGTGCTTCCTCCTCCTGTGTAACGCAGCGGAGACGGACTGAAACATATGCACTTTTGAAAATAGAAGTATCTTCCTCGTGGAGGTTTAGCAACGTGGTTTGAGCATCAGTTCCCTTTTTTTAAACAGGACACAAAATGGATGGTGAAGAAGAGCATCCTGTCTTAGTACCCAGAGAGCAGGGAGTAAGCCTTAATCATTTCATCATCAGGTAGACTAGCCGTGTTTACATGTGGTTCTCATGCAGTGCGACTAAATCATCTTTTGTAGAACTTTTTCCAAACATCCTGAAGAGTTCACAATCCGTCCTCCATCTACTGTATATCAGACACAGTTTGATCTAAAATCCTGACTCATAGACATCTGTGGAAATCTTAAAATAGTTTAGAAAAACACTTTAACTGCATTTATGAGCCCTTGTTTAATAATGATTTGTGGCTATAAGGACATCTTTAAGTGTTTCTCAACATTATATCTTCTCCTGTGAAGACATTAATTATTACATCAGTGGTATTATTAGCTGTTTATGGAGCAGGAGGCGTTATATTTGATGAAACATATCTTAATAAACTAATACATTATAGTGTATAATACAATATATTAATATACTACTTATAAATGCTTTTGGGTTAAAGTGTTTCATTCTAAAACGACTAAACTGATGTCAGCATTGGTTCAATTGTATTCTAATAAGTTCAGTTTTCGAGACGTTCATTGTGAAGAAATTGAGTAAGAGAGTTAAATCAGGAATAATGAGAGAAGGAAAAATGCTTAATGTTTTATTTCGCATTTAAAGACTAAAAGTCGAGATGTTGAGAATAAAATCCAAGTTTCTATATGCGCTATAACACTTGTGGAATTATCATAATAGCTTGATTTATTTCTTGACGTATTTACACTTCATTCACAAAATGCAAGATAAAAAAAAGTAGTAAAATGGAAAATTTATTTTCAAGAGTTCGACTTCTTGAAATTCGACAGAAACACTGATTTTATCCTTTACATTTCGACTGTATGCTCAAACGTAAAGTCAAACGTATCCCCCTTTTTCGCCATTAAAGCTTTGTGGCATCAGAGTTTTAAAATGTCCGGCCCCCCTCCTCATGAGTCCGATTCCCTGAGTCCTGTTCCTTGTGTTTGAGTCTGTGAGTGTCTGTGGTTGAATCGATAAATGTGCGTCAGGTGATGAATTGTCTTGTGTTGCTGAGGATGTTTATGAAGTGAATTTGTTCCCATTAAAATGACTGAAACCCCCTGTATCAACTACATCCAGACTGGCACTTGTAAATGTATTTAAGATCACAAGAAAGTATGAAGAAGCTAAAAATATCCTTGAATTGTTTTTGGCATAAAAACTGTGTGAGTTGTAGGAGCTTTGTGTGACCTTTCCTCATAAACTAAAACACTACATTTCTCACTGTGTTTTTGAAAACCCCACATGCAGTGACACCTCTCTGCCACAGGGTGTCGCTCACTTCCTTCCTATAGGTCCATAACGACCTCCATGACCCTGAAGGCATCACCAGCAGTGAATCCTAAATTAACCCCACGACTCATTTAGAAGCGATCTGAGGACTGAAGGAGGCTTAAAACACACATGACAACCTGTGCAGCCCATGTATTGATTCCATCAGATAGCTGCTATAATCCAAAACGTCTGCCTCTCTCCACAATGATCAGTAACAGCGAACGGATGGTCAAAGTAAGGTACAAATAAATCACACGAAGCCTGGTTAGTGTTGCCTGACTTTATAAAGTGTGTGGTTGCGTTCTAGTCACTTTGCTCAGCACTACTGCTTGTTACAACTTTTATGTGCCGTACTCGCCTCTTAGCGACTGTTAGCTCAGGTTAATCTCGCCCCCCCCCCCCCCTGTGATGGGTGCGATTGTTACAACTTCATTAAAGAGGTGGAGGAAGTATTCAGATGCTTTACTTTATTGAAAGTATTATTACTGCACAATAAATATACTCTTTGCACGTAAAAGTCCTGCATTGAAATTGTCATTCGTGTATAAGTAGGTATAACAAGCTAATTGTAGATATAAAAAACTCAAAATGATTAAATAAATGTTTAGTTTTCTCTCAATCTCAAGAACTGGAAACATGATAAGGCAACAATCACAACTAATGCTATAAAATGCAATGGAGTAAAAGGTCAAATAATTCCCCTTTGAATTGTAGTGGAGCAGAAGTGGCATGAAAGGAGATAATTAAGATAAGCACAAGTACCTCGATTTTCTTCAAAGTACTATACATAAGTAAATGTTGCTTCCCACTGCTGCTTAATTCATCCTGAAAACATTTTGAATCACGAGGTTTTGAATACAAGATGACTCGCCTGTCTTGACCTGGGACTTTTGGGGGATTTGGATTGAGACTTATCAATGGACTTGATTTGACTTATGACTTGACTTGGGACTTGTCTGTCTAGATGTAGCTTTACCTTGGATCAGACTTTGGACATGCTTTAGGATTTGAATCCAGATTTTGACTTGGAACTTTTCTGATTTGATTTAGGACTTGACATGGGTCTTTTCATTCTAGATTTGGGACTTTTCGGTGGATTTGATTTTGGATTTGAAAGGGGACCTGACTTGGGACTTGGCATTCTTTCGGGGGATTGTTCTTGGGACTTGACATGGACTCTGACTCGGATCTTGTCTGATTTGACTCTGACGGCCTCTCCTGTCAGCAGCCGTGTTTGAGAGCTTCTCTGAGAGGTGAACATTCCTGCTGTGTTTTCATTTGAGGACAGAGCAGCGAGTCCAG